TTGTTTCTAGTTATTTATTTTTTATTAATTTACATATACCCCAATCAATTTTATTAACATTAACATGTTACACAAAATAAAATAATTTCTAGGTGATAAAAAAGTGAACATATTTAGGCTAAACACACACGGACCACTTTAAAAACCACACCACAACCACAAAACTGTGGTCGTTCATGGGTGATATATTAATTACATGTTAAGTAATATGAAAAACGCAGTCGAACACAGACGGACTACTTTCGGACCACTTTCCGACGGCAGTCTCATCGTGCCGCATGTATCTCCCACAAAATAGTGGTCCGTCGGTGGTTGAGCGTAACACACTTGTTGCGACACATCAACCACTTTCCGACCACTTGCCGCCAACACTAATAATTATTAATCATTATTATTTTATATTTATAGAACTATCATTGATAGGTATCTGTATAATCTATACATATATTATTATCAGTATTATTTTATGACTAGTGTTATGAAATTTGTCGAGTAGTTGAGTTGGTTCAGTTGTTGTTCAGTAGTACATGCTCACGTGTTTTGTGTTCAATACGTACGCCACATTTGTGATTGTGGTGTGATTATATTAACGTCGATTCGGACTTCTAACGACCACAAAAAAGTAGTTCAAAAGTGGTCGTTCCAGCGACCTCACAACCACACGTCAACCACAAAAAAAAACGCACAAAAGTGGTCCGTGTGTGTTAGGCCTTAAACATCCAGTCCAAACTAAAAATAACCATTAAAAATGCGATTTTTGAAAAACCCATTTTTATAGCATATAAAGATTATTAGAAGAACCCAGTGTGAAATTTCAAGTTCATATGTTTTTTCATTGTTGATATATTTTAAGCAGTGAATGAAGAAATAATGGTATTTTAACTATTTATATATTACTAGTAATGTAAAGTTCAATATAATATTACGAGTAGAATAAGAAAATCAAAATAAGAATATATATATCCTAAGTTACAGGTATTTAATTTTTCTTGTACAACTAATAAAATATTTGCAAGCAACAACATGATAGTTTGGTGATAAAAATCAGATAAGTAACGCTTAACAACCCAATATTATTAAAAATTCATAAAAAAAAAAGTAGTAAAATAAATTGTTATGTATTCAACTTGTACATTTATATTAAATCCTATAAAGTAAAACGTATAAGAATAAAATCTGAAATACTTTTGTAGTGTTCCTTATTATCAATAATTTATTAAATATATATTTTGTTCTTAAAGTCTTAGTTCAATCCAGTTTATACCGTGAATGGTAGAATATAAATGTTTATTAAACTTAAATTTCATTTAGAGTAAATTTAACTCAGATTTTTAGGTATTGGACTAAGCCGTAAAAAACCGGGTCAGAATGTTTTGTACCGTAGGTTTTCTTTTGATTCTAGGCATATCTAAAAATATTTTTTTTTATTTTTGATCTGAATCTATTAAAATATATATATACATACACCACCCACAACGGCTTCTAAAACTTAAAACTGTAATTGGTGTGGATAAACCCAGTCTAAACGTGTTTTATTTTCTAAAAAATAATTCTAATTCTTTAACAAATGTAAGAAATCGAATTGAATTAAAAACAAGAATATTATTTAATTTGTGACTTACCTATTGGATAGATTGCCAATATACAGTTCAAAATACAATAGCTTAAAACAGTAATCGACTTTTTATATCTCAATTCCATCTCTAGTATGAGAATAATTCAATCATGCTTTGTTATGATGTTACGATGGGACTAAAACCATAACACAAGATCGAACAAATATCGCGCTGAGACAGCTGGACCAGATTCTGTAATGTGTCACCTTGAATAGGTTTCATTGCTAACAAAAAAACTATTATTTATCTACTAATTGTGTAGGAAAATCTGGTTTTCGAGATTCAAAAAAATACCATCCTCTCGGAACCCGCCGGTAACTCATTAGTAAATAACGGTGGCAAGAGGCAATAAAAACAAAGAAATAACTTTTAAGCGTAATTATGTTGTAAAAATAAATTCATACATTACAAGAGAAAACATTTTAATTATATTGATTAAACAAAAAAATAACCGAAAAACGATTGACGTGGTCAGCGTGTACATTGGTATAAATGTTCGACCGGTTAGGCTCAGGTCCGTCCCGTTGTCTAGCGCAAGTCTCGCGCTCTGGAGTACGGCGACCTCACGGGGCCCACGTGGCCGTGTACGCGTCTGTGCGAGCGCAACACCCTGCTGTCGCGGCACCGTATGCCGCATACGTCGCATCGCACGATCCGATTGGGCCGCATGTACGGGCCGCCGATGTTCGCGTGCTCTCTGGCCACCACGGCACCGTGCTCGGATTGCACGTGGTTGATCAGGGACGCGACATCGCCCATGTACAGGGTGCAAACACCGCACATGGCGGCCCGCGCCTCCGGATGCTCACGGTGGACGTGCCTGCGAAGCGCGCCACGGTCGTCGGATAGTTGGCCGCACAGCTCGCACGTACACACGTACGGGCCCGTGGCCGCCGGGTGGTGGTCATACACGTGCTCCACGGACGAGAGCACCGACGAGAATCTTCTGCCGCAACCCATGATCGGGCAACACAACGAGATGGCGTCCCCGTGAACCGCGCGCATGTGTCTCCACAACATTGTCTTGTTCGCGCAAACGGTCCCGCACCACTCGCACATCTCTGCGCCGTCGGGTAGCACCATCAAGTACCATGGCACCGTTCCTCCATCCTCCTGATGCTCGGCCATAGACGACCGGTCGTCCTGTTGGTCCGTCTGCAAAACAAAGATTAGTTACAGATCCACGGCCCACCACAAATTATTTAAAAACCACAGGAAAAGAATTGTTAATTGAGAATAAGAAATAAAACAAAACATTAATTGGGTATAATCACCTTTTGGGATTCATTCAGTTCAATAACCGTCATATTTAAACGGAAAATGGTTTAAATTACAAACAAAAATTGTTTAAGTTTGGAAGAAAACACTAAGTAATGTTTAAAAATGTTAATGTTTTAATGCATAGGTCAACTGATCGACTTGGAGTGAAAGATATTTCAGCTTGTGTCGTCGACGATGATGAAATACAAAATTTTGCCTAACAACGGGGATACTATTATTATAAACAACACTTGTATTTTATTGTGGCCAATAAATTACCTATTTGTAACAATCTTATATTCAAATTTAATTTTTCATTCGATGTGTTTTGTTTCTTTCAAATTTAAAGTGATAACTGTTCATCAATACGAAACTTAATTAATATCTATTAAGAATTGACCGATTACAATAAATAAATGATTTATGAATAGAATACTAGAACAATGATTTAAAAAACTCTATGTACTATTTATTTATACGATTGCCAGAAGTTTTTGATTATTTAAAGTCAGTTTCGGGTTTGTATGCAAATTGAAAATGTGCCCAACATTTTTTTCATGTTATTTTATTTATGGGTTGTTAATTTACAAGTGGTTTATTCTCAAACATTCTTATATGAGGTCTACTATGAATTATTTAAATGTATTCATAAAATTATTTTTTAAAATTGTTTTATAAAACTGATCACTCAAACCGTTTAAATTATCGTACAGTTATATTTAACCAGGTATTGAAGACTATACTATCAGTCTTGTTATTACTCATGATATATAATACTAAACTATAACACTCTATTAATATTTATTAATTATTATGATTATAGATTAGGTTTATACACATATTTACTGCGCACTATAAATTATGGTAGCTTCAGTCTATATGCATATACTTCAGTTGACTGATTCATTTTTGGTAGTGATCCTAACTTAGACAACACTGATTTTTTTTGTCTATTGAATGGACAACGTTAGGAATTGAATTGAACAGTATATTTAATATTTTCTGTGCATTGTTTGATAAATTATCTGTTTACTTTTATTACCGTATATAAACAAAAAAAGAGTTAAAAAACATTGAAATATGAAGTAAAAGATAAAATATGCAATTAAAAACCTCTAAATAAGCCCTCTAAATAAAAATAAATGGGTAAATATCGAAATATGCAAAAATATGCTCTAAAAAAATTCGATTTTTTAAATCGTTATGTTATAAAACAAATGTTGTGCCAATTTAGCATATCGTATAACCAACCAAAATAAATATTCAAATGCATATAAATCCGTGCTCTAGTTATAACTAATATTTATATTGATCAGTATCAACAATATTGCACAAAAATTCAAGATAATACGAAAAATATGTTCAAAATAGCTAATGGTTATTTATTTTTATCATTTCCTCTTGCGTATTATTCTTTAACTCATGGCAATTTCTTATGATATGACCGTTTACGAAACAATATTGACATATAAATATATACTTTTTTTTTTTTATTATTGAATTAATAAGGCTTCAACATCTGAAGTCATTTGCCAAATATTTTAACATATTAATGAATCATAAAAATGATGTGAATTTAATATTCGAGGGCATTGGTTGTATAAATTGTCTTAATTAGCTTTGATAAAGTTATGCCTGTGAAAAACTTGAAAATGATTCCCGAATTTTTCCCCAATTGTTTGTTTCATCATGGGTGGTTTCCTAGTACCATCAATTATTGTATATTTAAATGCCGAAAATGATTATTCTTCTGAAAAATTTGACGATTAAAACCGGACAAACGATTGATCAATCATTCAAAGCATATATATATATATATACTTAAACTCAACGACGAGAAGCATGGATCATACAATATGCGTGTTATTTCACGTTAATATTTTCTTCCCATTCTCCACTCTCGGGACTTTTAAGTAATCGCTATCGTTTTCTGGTGTAGGATATCATTGTAACGCGTTCTAAGAGAAACGGTTTTTCTTTTGATTTGGAAATCGACGGATAAGTAAAAATAAATAATAAAACGGACGAAATATGCCTGATGGACACCGCCGGCCGACCCGGTGGTGTACCGGTGCGCAGTGCTTAAGATTGTGCATAAGCGTGTGCGTTTTCGTTTGCCCGTAGGTGTCGACGATCATCTCGACGATATTTGTGGACTTCGCGCGGGCCGTGTTCGTGCGGTACATGAACCGGTGCTGGTGCTGGAACCTGGAGAAACGGTTTCCACAGTACGGTGACTTCAAGATCGCCGAGAACATATTGCACCTGGTCAACAACCAGGGCATGGTGTGGATGGGCATGTTCTTCTCGCCCGGGCTGCCTATCATCAACGTGGTGAAGTTGATGATCATGATGTACGTGCGATCGTGGGCGGTGCTCACGTGCAACGTGCCGCACGATATCGTGTTCCGCGCTAGCCGCAGCAACAACTTCTACCTGGGACTGTTGCTGACCATGCTGTTCCTGTGCGTGTTGCCCGTCGGCTACGCGATCGTGTGGATCGAACCGTCGTGGCACTGCGGCCCGTTCTCGCAGTACAAGAAGATCTATCACATATTTACCAACTCGATCAAGAAGACCGTGCCCAACCCGACGGTGCACCGGGTGCTCGACTACATAGCGTCGCCTGCCATCGTCATACCGTTACTATTGCTACTCATACTCATCATCTACTACTTGGCGTCGCTCACGTCGTCGCTCCGCGAAGCCAACAACGACCTGAAAGTAAGTACGGGTGGGGTCGCAACTCGACTACGTACACTCCGAACACTTGTACTGTCCACTAGCAGAACTACTGCTACGGGTAGCCGAAATTCGAATTTTCTCGATACTTTTATGAAACGATCGTTTTTTATGTGTAAAGATTATTGAAATAACGATTCGTCTTCGTCGTATAGTGATTTAAATAAGCCTGCACGTATCCGGCATCTTCACTTGAAAACATTTCTCACAGGAAAAATTTTCAGCCCTCGTTAAAAGATCCGATTTAGATAATTCTTTTTTTCTGTTTTAACAGAAATATTTATAAAAAAAAGTCGATGTAAAAAAATTTTTGTTTTGCTATTGAAAATTAATTTTTTATTTTCAATTATTCAAATATATACACTAGTGAAAATTAATTTTTCACTCTGGGATTTCAAACTTCAAGTGCTCATTACAAAAAAACGAGCAACATCTGTATTTTTATACAATTCAATCACTACATTCGAGGTTAATAAGAATTGTAACTTCATAATCGAGTCATTGAATTCTATCTTTGTGTCAGTTTCAGCATCGATGTGTTTATAAGCACTTCGATTTTATTTTTTTTTTATTTGTTACCTATTGTAAATTAAACTATATGACAATTATGGAGAAAATCTTTGTATCATAGCTTTTATGAAAAAAAAAAAACTATATTTTGTCTATTTCAATTAGATACCAACTATGATACGGGCTTATCTAATTATATTTTATGAATTTCAAAACTAATCGATAATGATATAAATAACAAGTTTTTGTTGCGGAAATTATACTGTGGCATTACTCTCGCAAATTATGAGAATGCTATTTGAAACGGTGCAGCGAATTCATTGATCCGATATAACCATAATGAGCTTACAACCGATCCAGTGTGTTTAACGAACTATAACCCTGCAACGGTGGTGGATTAAATGACAATTGACATTCGTTCCGAACGAATCGCATAATTGTTCGATACGCTCATCTCGAAATGCGTTCAACCGAATATCGGAATCTCGGAAGATTCTTATTGTTCGTCGGTGTTCATAACCCACGCTTTTTTTTATAGTCATCGTTAATAATGTCTTTAGCCATTTGGCTTAATGCAGTCACAGGCACGCGTCAGCATTGTGTGCACAATATATACGTGCAGTGCGCAGGGTTGAACGCAGAAAAAATTATGTAGGAGAGTTGAAAAAATGTAAAAAGTTCATAAATATCATGTAATTGTATTGTATACATCAATATACAAGCGAAATATACACGGGAAACTTTTAAACAATTAATATATTTTTTAATTTATTTATTAGTAATACATTTGTAGGTCAGATAATTTATTTTTTGTTACTGATATTTCGGGGGGGAGGGGGCTTAACTCCCAAAATGTCCTCTTGTATCCGCCCCTGGCAGTGCACTCACGATTGTTGTAATTGACCGGTGACAGAAAAAAATATCACAAACATTATTGTGTAACAATAATTGATGTTTAACCGTAGACGCAGCTGAGACGGGAAAGAACCGAAGAACGGCGAAAAATGTTCCAGTTGGTCAACAGCAAGAAGCACGGCGAAGACGACGGTGATTACACGTGCATGGACACGACGTTAGCCAAGTGGAGACAAATAATGCCGGACGGAAAAGCGGCCACAGATCGTCCGAACTTTATGTTCGAGTTGGCTGAGAAGAAGCTCACGGGTAAGACAACAGTGTGATAGATAGTTGTAAACTAGCCATAGTAATAGTGCTTCCCCACAGTCAATATTGCGATTGTGTATAACATAACAAATAAAAATATAAAATTATCTCTAGATTGAATTGAATGAATAAAAAAAACCTACAAAAATTAAAATGACACAAAATTGCTCAAAATCATAAACATTGATGTTAATTTCTTTTTATGAATAAAAATTAGTAATTAAAATATAAATACATAAATCAATAAATAAAAATAAAAATTAAGTTTTTCCGTTTTCAGACAGGTAATAAAACCCTAAGCGACTATAGTCCAATGGTCTAGAGTAGCGATTCTCTACCTATGTGTTGCAACTCCCCAGGAATTTGTAAACCATTATACGAGGGGTCGCATCCTTCAGAAATAATTAAACGTTGATGTAGAAAAACAATTTTTTATTTACATTAAAAATAAAAAAATAACACATAACCATATTGATAATAATGAAAAAGTTAATTTTTAGTATAAGTAAACTCGTGTTTTTGTTTTTTTTTAATGATTCATGATATACTTTGTAAGTGATAAAACAGATTAAAGCTTAAATTAGTTTTAATTATAAAGAGGAAAGGTCGTAAGGTGACTAATTTTAATTTTAACCTTTTCTTGGGTCCACAACATTAAGTATTAACAGTGTTATAAATTTCTTAGGGAGTCATCGATCATCATCGTTTTTATAAATTGAAGGCATGGCGGTAATATCTTGATAAGTAATTACATTTCAACGTTCGTTTCACACACAACGGTTCATGAGTATGGTTAAAATCAAAACGAACGTTGTTTTCGCACAAAACGGTTTTTTCCATTGAGTCATTTTCCTTCTCCATTTGATTATATTTTATTTTTAAACTGTAACTCGGTTGGCACTCAACATGAATCGAAAACGCACCATTTCCATGCAGATTTCATTTCATTTGATTCAGAGATTAACATTACTGTGTCAAACACGATATTTTTTTTATTAGAAATAGTCACAATGGACAGTACATGGTACGGCTATTATACACCGGTCGACAACGCTTTGCCAAGAAACATATTATTTTCGATTTATTTATATATTTGATGCGTGGGGCTGGTGTAGGGATGTTCAGCTATCGGTTTGACCACCCACGAAACAGTACAATTACTCCGATAATGTGACCCCAACGCGTACACACTCGCAAACACATACCAATATAACACCCCTGAAAAATTATGCATCCCGAGAATATATTATATTATATTCGTTATTATTATTTTGTATATTTATTTATTTATTCATTCACTTTAACACTTTAACATATTTCGAAGAAATATTTCTTCGAATTTTATGGCTTATGCGTGTAAAAACGTTTCGATGTTAAAAATGTTCGTTTTTTTTTTACCTAAAGATCGGTTAATAAGGTCAATTGCTTAATGAGGGCAAATAGATTTGATCCTAAAGTGACTACATTAAGTGAATTCCCTTGTATATATATATATAAACACACACATACACACACCAAAACACGTTGCAGATTACAATTGTGCTTCCAACACGAGACAGCTACCGCCGCCACCGCCATCATTGTGCCGACAGGCAGACATCTGTAATATATTTATCTCGTATATCTCATAACGTTATAAGACCGTGAGAACATACATGTATTTATGTACCAGCGATGTACGCAGTATTTTTTCAAGATGGGAGGTCAAAATGTATTTATTTTGTTTTGCTCGCCACTATATGTAAGATAAGTTTAGTTAAAGGCCACACAGTGAAGATCATTTAACCCTTCGTTAGGCCCGTGATCTACAACTGTAAACTAGCTATAAATATTGAAAATGTTAGTATTTATAAAAATCTTGTAGTGCCTTATACTATATAGTAGCTGTTGTTTATCTATACTACTATGTGATCAGTATTATCGTGATCGTTGACGAGCGTTGTGTAACGAAACATATCAAAAATATTTCGAGTGGTATACAACTGTAGATCACGCGACTTACTATACTATATTTTTTTTATAGATTTGCAAAATTAATTTTTTTTTTTTTTTACTGGATACAGTTGTATAATATATTATTATTATTAATATACCTATTGGGCCATGACATGTTATTTCATATAAACTATAAAATCCGTTAATTATACTTTATATCAATATTATGGAATTTAATTTACAAGAGGAAATGATTATTAAGAAAAATAAGAACCAAAACTCATATACACTATCATTTCCTATAAAGAAATTACAGTTATAATACCTATATTTATTCGACAATAACTGGTAAAAAAATATAAAAATTAATTTTAATTTTGTTTCTGGTCTTTTTTAAAAATGTCATTTTCAGATATTTATAGTTTCGGAAGGTAATTCAGTAACTAGTTCTAAAAATAAAAATGTCATGAATGAAATTATCATAATTTCACTACTAACAAGATAATTGTATTTTCTTCGAATATTTATGGATTGTTTTTGATATTTCAATGCTCGAACAATTCTTTATATGCATATAAATACTCAACATTTTTAATACAAACAAAAATAATTAAAATTAATTTAATTTATCATATATTCAAATGGTCTACAAATGTAGACCATGCGCCTAAATAAGTAACAATATACCTCGCGCCTAACGAAGGGTTAAAATATACTCTACCCTTGTAGGTATACTGTTCGGCGGCAGCTGCACGTATAATATACATTGACATATAAATACTGGACGTATTTTGTGTCAACAGTTTATAGTTGTTCAATGTGATATGTATTGGGTAAGGGGTCTTGGCGACGTGATGTCGCCGCCGAACACGTTTTAGATTTGGAATGCGGTTGGACATGCGCACCCGCACACACCCGTTGCATATTGTCCGACCACTATATGTAAGATAAGTTTAGTTAAAGGCCACACAAAGATAATTTAAAATATACTCTGCCCTTGTAGATACACTATTCGGCAGCAGCTGCACGTACAATGTACATATACATATAAATACTGGACGTGTGTCCGTATTTTGTGTCTTTGTGTCTACAATTTATAGTCGTTCAATGTGATATGTATTGGGTAAGGGGTCTTGGCGACGTGATGTCGCCGCCGAACACGTTGTCGATTTGGAATGCGGTTGGACTCGCGCACTCGCACACACTCGTTGCATATTGTCCGACCACGTATTCGTGCTCAAGGTTTTTTTTTTTTCGTGTGATTTCCCGTACAATATGCCTATGCCGTGTGCACGCACGCGCATATGTTTCTTTCATAATTTTTTTTCTTAAGGCATTGTTTAATAATAAGGATCAATCGTATTTATCATTGTCTATTCACTATACATTTGTTCCGTATTTAACTGTTATGTGGCACACGGTACGATTTTTATACCGGTCACCAACGTTTTTCCACAAAACATATTATTTTCGTATTTATTTATGTATTAGAAACGTGAAGCACGTATAGGATGTTTAAACTTGTTTAGCTATCGGTTTTACCATCCTCGATACGGCACATTTATTGCGACAACGTGGCACAAACGGCGTACGCACTAGCAGCGATACGCCACACCCCTAATCTTAGGATGGTTCTTATTGTTCGGAACGTATACTAGGGATCGAAAAGAAACAACTCATATAACAACTGCTGTGCCTAAAAACCCGGCCGGGGTTTAACGTGTATGTAGTATGTTGTGTATGTATATTATGTATTTTCCCTATATATTAGAACCATCCAAATATAATTCGACTGCACATATGAACAAAACGTAAAATATAAGAAGGTAAAACGTTAAAATGTTTTCATAACGTATCATGTTATATGACGTAAAACTTGTGATTTACTAGATCAGTTCTCATCGATAAAAAAATGATTGAAAATATATATTCGATCAATGTCAACTGACAATGAGTAAGTGTTTAATACACTTTACATGATATGTTATTTTTAGTTATTTGATGTTTACGGTTACAAATAATGAAAACGGTGACGACGGAAATCTTGAAACAATTTACTTGCCTAAGTCATTTTGAAGTGTTAATTTTTTTTTTCTATCTATTTCGTTTGAATGTAGTCATTCGTAATATGTTTTCTACGATATAAATTATTTACCCATTTGGATCTTAACAGAGGCATCTCTAGACAGTTTTCAAGGACCTATTTTTTAAATTGGATTTTTTTTTTTTTAGTAACGTTAACCTTTACACCAAGGATTCCCAACTGTTATGCCACGGCACACTTGTGTGTCGCGAAATTATTCAGGTGTGCCGTATAATTTTTGTAATTTTATAATTTTTTAAACATAACTTAATAAAAAATAAAAATTATAATTTATATTTATGATAGCTTTGACTTTGAAATTCCATTGAAAATAAAAAAATGATAAAATGTCCTGATAAAACAGCTATAATATTATTTAGAATCCGATACTACCCGATACGGGTATTACAAGCAATGCGATAACTTTTACCACATACTATAATCACTATATGAAAACATAGCGGGTGCTCATAAAAATTGAGCGCGTGTAATTGTTACGCATTATACTGTATAGGTATTTTGATCAAGAAATATTGTAAGTTAAATTTAAAAATGGATAGATTTTTATAAAATCGTAAATTAACGGATGGCAGTTATGTTAGTTCAGATGACAACAATTTAAATATTGAAATTAATATTAAACAATCAGTTTTAATAAGTGATAAAAGTTTAAATTTAAAAGTTAAACGTAAATATATTGATAATTGATAATTATTTATGTTTTGCATTTACGTGAAATGGTGGCATTGATTGTCCTTTAAAAGTTTGTATCGTTTCAACTGTTTCACCTCTAATAGAGGAATTATGTAAAAAACACCATTTTCAAATGTCACATTAAATTTGTATTATACATATTATATTAATATAATCATATTATAATATATAATATATAATTATGATTATAATTATATTATTATTCATTATTATTTATTTAAGTGTGCCGTGGATATTTTTAAAATTATCAAGTGTGTCGTTAAGTAAA